TCCTCCCCCCCCCCTTTATAACGTTTTCCTTTATTTATTACTAATATTCCCTCCCCTCCCATCACCCAAATTCCTTCACAATTGATTATAATTCAGCCTAACAAAATTAAGTGACATGATGTATTGTAACACATACACCCAGGTAATAGTATTTCATACCTCAGATTTGAGCTTTCTGAAAACTTTGTCTCATGGTTTGAGACATGTGAATTCAGTTTTTTTTTTCAGGATTTTAAACTGTAATAGATAGATCACGTTAATGCTTTTCAAAACCTCTTTTTGCATTTTTACATTATGCAACCAGTAGTACTTATCAATAGCGTTTTAGGCCCTGCCTTTTAAATGAAGGCCATGACACACTTGATGGTCTTTATAAAACGAAATTGAAGTTCTTTCTAGCCCGCTTTGTTCTGGTAAAAAGTATTCACAATTTTCACTGTGATTCCTTCTCTTGCATTCATGTGGCATGGTGAATAGTGGAACCTATATCATGCACTATAATGAGGCTGTGAGGCCCTGGGTAGAAGGCGGAAATAGAATTAAAACGAGGGTATATTGTGAAGGTAGGTGGCGAATTGCGCAAGGCAAATTGCAACAATCAATGCCAGCGTGAGAACCAATCAGAGTGACGCTGGGAATTGACCAATCAGCGTGACCATTTTGATTGTCTGCCGGCCTACCCTACCGTCCCATGCTTTTGCAAAATTCTTCGCCCCTGTCATCTGGGCTGGTAGAATCTCAGCTGGGACTTGCGCTCCCATCATGAAAGGTTCTCAATGTAGATTCTGTCCCATCGTCTTCCTTCTGCTCCTTTCTATTATATGCGCGTCACAGGGCCCACCCCCAAAAGGTCACCCCAAAAGTAAGCTCTAACTTGCTCATTTTTATTTGACACAATTTTGTAATGTGATGCACTTTCAAGATTGCTTTTGCTTGTGAGGAAGCATCTAGATGTTTCACATACTATGAAAGCCTAAGTAACCACATAGAAAAAAGAGGCATTAAGGGTTTAAGAAGGACCTATTTGCCTCTGAGTGCTTATTTTTTAATTCATTGCTCAACATTCTAAAGTTCAAGCTCAGGAATATGAGCTCCGAATACATGAGTAGGAAATTTGAGTTCAAAGATTACAAATTTGTCTAAACTCTGGGGCTGGTCAACTACAAATACTTCATTTTTTGAGGTCCGACGCTGTGAGAATGGAGTTGTTTTCTTTAGCAGGTTCAATTTTTGCAACAGGGTTGTTCGATTTCACTTCCTATTAGTCTATTTAAATTAAGCAACCACACCGGACACGCGATATTGACTTGGGGAATTGCAGTCTTGAGGCTAGAATTTCTTCACGTCTCTATGACCTCCTTGGTGCTCACCAAAAGCCATTCAATTTAAGTTGCTGATGAAAAATAAAATAATTGATTGCCTATTCGTTAGCTGTTATATGAGTCACAAAGTTTGCAGACAAGAGCATATGCAAATTATTATCGATATTGATTTTTTGGACTGATTTGAAATGGGCGTGTGGCTACTAAAAGAGTTTATGATGCATGGATTTCTATTGAAGAAAGATCTTGATTAGATCAAACAGGTCTTCCTTCCACTGACGTCAAATTGCAAAAAGACAGTGCGTAGTTTTGGGGGGCGGACGTTCACTAGTTCATTTGACCGTGGTATTATAGTGGGGAAGGGGGTGTGCGATAGACTTACCTCCACGTGGTGCACCCTGGACAACATATACTCATACTGCAATAGAGTCTATTAACTGGCAGTTGACTTCTGACTTCAAGCTATCATCACCCCACTGTAAGTCATATTCGACTACTTCCACAGCACTCACCTCACCTTACCTTTTCTACCTTTGTGTCAGTCTGTCTCTTTTACATCTTTGAAACACTCTTTTTTTC